ACTCTACTATAAAGCTGCTCGATCCGGAGCTGCTGAACCCTAAACCCTAAACCCTAAACACTAAACCCTAAAACCCTAAAACCCTAAAACCCTAAAACCCTAAACCCCAAAATCCTACAACAAGGGCCCAGGTTCAGGCTCATCTGCAAGTGTTCGTTTTCCAGGGTGCAGAACACCGAGCCGTACTCTTGCACGGTCCTCGGATCCGGTTTAGGGTTTAGGGTTTAGGGCTTAGGTTCTTAGGGCTTTAGGGGCTTAGGGTTTAGGGTTTTAGTGTTTAGGGTTTAGGGGTTTAGGGTTTAGGCTTTAAGGGTTTAGGGTTTAGAGTTTAGAGTTTAGGGTTTAACAGGTTTAGGGTTTACTGGGAGAGGTTCATGGGTAGTTTGAAGCGGAGTTCTACTTCCCCTAAGATGGGTTATGAGGACGGTTACCTTGCTTTATAACCCCACGTAGAACTACCCACGGACCCCTCCAAGTAGTGCTCAGGACTTTGGGTTTAGGAGTCAGGTTCGGGGTTTCGGGGGGTTAGAGAACTTCGGCTTCAGGGCCTACTTGGATGGTTCATGGGTAGTTCACTTCCTTGACGGGTTCCATGAGAGGTTAAGGGTTTAGGGGTTTAGGCTTTCATGGGTAGTTGTTGGGTGAAGAGTAGGGCAGCTTTGAGTATGACCCGCATCAGAGGACTTATATCCCCACCGATAGCTACCTATGAACCTCCAAGTGTAGGCTCGATCCTAAACCGCAAAGGAACCCGTAATAGGAACCCTTTCAAGGAACCATAATCTCCTCTGCTCTTCCTGGCGTCTCCCATCCTTTCAAAAGTCAGAAGAGCCCGGGGTCCTCGAAGACCCAGAATCTTGGTAACCCTTATACTCATAGTAAATGGGAGTCATCACAAGAGAACAGGGTCTTGAAGTTTTGGCTTTGTAACACAATTCCATTAAGGAAATCTAAAGAACATTCTATTAAGTAACTCGAAGGAACAGTTGTTGATTCATTTAAAGCTTAGGTTTTTGGGTTCAGGGTTTTGGGTTACAGTAAACCCCAAACCCCTAGACCCTACGACTTAAACCGCCTAAGCCTGAAACCCTTTCGAACCCTTATACAACCCTATTGAAACCCTTCTTTGAGAACCCCTGAAAACCCCTTTGTTTAGAACCCTTCAAGAACCCTGTTTATAGAACCACTGAAAGGCCCAAGGATCATGCGGCCATTTGGGTGCAAGTTGCACTGAAAGGGCGCCACCAAAGATGTGAAGATGCTGATAAAGAGGATCGCGATGAGGGATCCTACCGTCCGCAGGAGCGCGCTGAGGTCCAGCCTCACACGGAGGCCCTGCTTGACATACCTTGGCTGACTTCTGAACCCCTTAAACTTTAGGTCTCCTTATTACAGCTCATACAGAAATCCAAAAAGTTATAAAGTCCTAAGAGCCACCAGAAGAACACCAAGATACTTCTTGAAGAAAAGAGCTGAGAGATGCAGCAGCAGGGCGATCGCTGCCAGAATGGGCGTAGCTGACACAGCCAATACATACTTCAAAACGGGGCTCACACTGGCGATACATGAAAGAGAGAGCATGTCCAAGTCCACGCCGAAAACTGCCAGTAGTTCCAGATACTCCTTCAAAGGCTCCTGCCACTCAATGCCCAGCTTTCGGATGACCACAAGTTGTTGAACCAGGGTCAGGAGCTGACTCGCAGCCACGGCGCCCACCAAAGTGTGCCCGGGCTGTGTCACCTGCTCGGCGTCCATGACCTAGGTTCCACAGTACCCCCTTTACAACAAGAAGCTTTTCCAACTTTCAAGTTCAATAAGGAAACCTCAAAAAACCAGGGAAAGTGTGCTTGTGGGAGAAACGGTGGCTAAGACGACGTAGACCACGGCAACGCCGAGCCTTTGTTGGCTTTGGGGGTTCAATTTCGGTGCACTTCCTACACGTGCTTCTATATGGGTGCGATGTTACTATTTATAAGGTTACGAACAGGCGACTATAAGTTTACTATACGAGTTATGGGTTCAGGGTTTAGGGTTTAGGGTTTCTGACTGAATCAACTCTGTTACACCGTTGTCTAGCCCTGCGAATCGCGTCGCTTGCAGCTACTCAATTACTCCGACCACCTTGCACCACTGAGCAACCATACGGCCACCACTACCACGACAGCGGCAACAGCAGGTGCTGCTGCTGCAACAACTTCTGGAGCTACTGTTACTGTTGCTGATACTGCTGCTAATGCTGCTGCTGCTGCTGCTGATCTACTTCTGCTGCTGCTTCTTCGCGTCTCGCCTACCACTGCAGAACACCAAAATTATGTATTCCTGATGGTATTCTCGATATCTGGTACTACCACCAATCACCCATGGTCAAACC